TAATGAATGGCTTTAGGAACCCAGATTTTCAGTGTAGCATAACTCCAACATTGGGGGGGGGGGCAGTCACACTTCATATTGTAGGTATTTTGATAGAGGATTCTAGACCAGAGTTATAAAACAATCAGGAACTGGATCTGCCAGATAGAAGTAAGTACAAACCACTTGTGGGAATATGACACTAGTAAAAAACTAATTAGTACAGCAAAGGCTAGAGAATGTTGAGTGAATTCAGAAAGTAGGTTAACAGTGCAGAGGTTTAATAAAGTCACTGCCTGGAAGTACAGAGTCCCAGGATCAGTGTATATCTAAGAAGAAAGGGACTTGCAGATCCTCTAGTCCAGCTGAGGGGAAAAAAGAGAGATCTAGAAAGGAGGAATGATATGTTCAATATCACATGGCAAGTCAGTAGCAGAACTGGGGTCAGGACCCAGGCCTTCTGATTCCCAGTGCAGTCCTGTCTTTAAACAGCAAGGAAGAACTAGTATGTATTGAAAGACAATTGTTGGGGTGCCTGGGTGGCTTGGTCAGTTGAGTGTCCGAGTTTGGCTCAGGTCATGATCTCACAGTTAGTGAGTTCAAGAGCCTGATGCGGGTCTCAACCCGCATCAGGCTCGCTGCTGTCAGCTCATAGCCTGGAGCCTACTTCAGATCCTCTGTCCCCCTCTCCCTGCCCCTCCCCTGCTTGCACTCTCTCTCTCAAAAATAATTTTAAAAAAGAAAGACAATTGTGTGCTCAGCATTCTACCTTATTTAATCCTTTACTTCAAAAGCATTAAATTAAATTTACCTCCATTTTCCAGATGAGGAAATTGAGAATCAGAACTAACATTCCAAAGGTTGTACTCCCAAGACCTCCATTCTCAAACACTAAGATTAGCTATATATACAATACAGTGTGGCCGGTGCCCTCCACCCCCAGTGGTGCAACACTGAACCCTGACTGAGGGGTAAGAGAGCTGTCCCAAGACTGGGCTTGAACAGTACAGGTAAATTCCTTCTGGCTGGATAATGAATGTGTTTTCTCCTTCCAGTTTACTCTGCCTCTGCCCCACATTATGTAATGGGGGACCAAGGGAATTTTTTAACACCACAAAGGAATTATTCAAACTCAGTATGGGTAGCATAGAAGGTATAATAATAGTGGTCTCAGTGATTCCACGGATGAGGGGTCTACTGTAGTGCTTAATCAACTGGGTTGCAAATCCCCATTCTACAGCGGTGTGCCCTCAGGAAAGTTACCATTTCTGAGCCTCTTTCTCATCATCTGTAAATGCAGTCATCATACCTGCCTCAAAGGGCTGTAGTGATTTTTTTTTTGATTGAGTTTTTACAATAAGATAATATATCAGTTTAGCCCAGTGCTGGATACATAGCAAGAACTCAGTAAATCTTAGACTTTGCTATCCAATTGCTAATTTCTGGCTCAAAGGTACCACTTCTGGGAGAGAACTCACCAAACTGGGTATGTCTGGGGAAGAAGAGGCAGTTGGTTGGGCCTCGTTGCTCTGTTGCTGTGAATAGGACTCTCTTCCCCATATAGAGTTACATTCTCTGTTGTCCACTCCTAGTGGTTGAAAGAGTGAGGTGCTCTAAGGACAAAGATACCATCTAGTTCAATATCCTTGTCACAATACAGACCAGAAATATCAACCTCTCCCATGCTATCCAGAGAGTGCCCTGGCTCCCAAGGTTTGCCACGATAGATAAAAGATTGGAGTTGAGGGAGGGTGGGAACAGTATTGCCCAGCTTGTCATGCCAGGCTGGGAGCTCTTTGAAGGCCAAGTCTACATTTCATACCCCGTCCATTGTGAATCTCACCCTCATGCCTTCCACATAGCACACAGAATAAATCTGTTTGGGGGGATGGAGATTGGGCTAGATTATTTTGAAGGTCTAGGAATAGATTTGAGGTCCTTATGGATATAATCAGCCCAGAACCTTTCCACCACCCTGGAAGCAAAGTTGGAAGTTTTGCCTCTCCATCATATATGCCTTTCATCTCTGGCTCATGGTGTTTGGGGAGACATTTCCTTCCTAAGTCTTTCTTGACCCTCGTTTTAACGCACTTTCACCTATTTACAAATTTTGGGGTATACTATTGCAGTAGGTCTTTAAGATCCTGCAAGTGTGTCCCTGACAGTCTCTTACGGAGTCAGGCTTTCTCATAAAATTAGGAATGAGACTCAAGAATCATAACCAACAGGCCTGGCACAGGCAGAATTGTTGCTGGTAACAAGCAACCAGTTGAGCTTGACTGGTACACACCAGCACTGATTATCAGCCCTGAAGAAAGCCATGCCATTGCTTTGATCTTTGGATGGAATTAAAATTTGCTAAGAAATTTCCTCATTAATATCTCCCCCAAGAAAATGATTCTTCTTATGGCTGCTGAGGTTATTTCTGACCTTGGATCAAACTTAATGTTTTATTAATTTATTTCACAAACATTTATCTCATAGCTACTATGCTGGGAACTTGCTTAGGCATTAGAACTATGAAGAAGACCGCTAGGAGCTCCCAATCCAGTGGGCTCTGTTTCCCATATGGAGTTGCTTTCATTGTTACTCGTCCCTTGTGGTTGAAAGTATGGGGTCCTATAAATATAAGAGATATAGAACAATATCTGTGTCACAATATAGACCCAAAATAGGGACAGTTTATAAATCAGAGTGACACCTTCTCTAATGGGTAGAAGTATGAATATGAGACACAGATGGAAAAACCAATAAACTCGGTCTGAGGGTGTTAATCAAGACTGCACAGACTAGGGAACACTTCAGTTGGGTCTTGAAGGTAAAGTTCATCAGAAGCCAGAAGCAGAGTGTGGGAGGAGGGAATTCCATGCAGAAGGAATGGCATTTTCCAAATCCTATGCTTGATAGGCTATGTGATATAAGTCTGTAGAACTGCAAGAAATTTACTATAGCATCAGGTGAAAATAGTGGGACATGGGGGTATAAAGGCAAGGGCTAGATGGAGAAAGGCTTTGCATGCATCATCTTGAGAGTTCTCTACATTTACTGACTTCATTTCAATAGTTCCCATTCATGTTTGACTCACTGTAGTCCCTTAACTTGCAGCTTTACTCTGGGTCCAAACCCAATGGGCAGATTCTTTTCTCTGTTTAGCTTACTTGACTTCTCAGTGGAGTGTAAGATGTGATAAACACATTTCATCCTCAAAGCTTCATCTTCCTTGGATTGTAAGATATCATGCCATCTCTTGGATTTTGCTGTTTCTCTGGACTTCTCATGTAAGTTTTCATTATGACCTCCTTTCCCTCTGCCTGACCTTTAAGTGAAGTGGATTTTCAGGGTTTTGTCCTCTGTCTTCTTTCGTTACTTCACAACTCTCTTTTGTCAGTCTTCCACGTGTCTTCAATTATCCTGTATCAATTGATTACACTCAAATTTATATCTTTAGCTCAGCTTTCTGTTATGAGATCCAGTGTATCAAATTGTCCACTGGTTATTGCCACTTGTATATTCTACAGGCGTTGCCAGTTCAACATGTCTAATAGAATGCATTATATTGCCCACCCCTTCCTTCCATGTTCCCTATCTCAAGAGACTTATATCATTTTCCAACCAGTTGCCTAGGTCTGAAAGCCTCAAAATCATCTTGGAGTCCTTTTTTTCCTTACCTTCTCCATCTTGTCAGTCACCAAGTTGTTGTTGGCTCTACTTTCTTAATCTCTTTGATTTTTTTTTTAAAGCTTGGTGGATATCATCTCCATTCTTCTACAACTTCACAACCACTCTCTTGGTCTATCATCATTTCTCAGGTGGAATTACTACAACAGCTTCCAACCTGGTTTCCCTACTTCCAGTCTTACCCACTTCCAACCTGCTCACCACACGGCTACTTGAGCAATCTTTTATTTTTTTTTTTGTTTTGTTTTTTGTTTTTTTTTTATTTATATATGAAATTTATTGTCAAATTGGTTTCCATACAACACCCAGTGCTCATCCCAAAAGGTGCCCTCCTCAATACCCATCACCCACCCTCTCCTCCCTCCCACCCCCCATCAACCCTCAGTTTGCTCTCAGTTCTCAACAGTCTCTTATTGAGCAATCTTTTAAAAATGGAAATCTGATTATACCATTTCTCTGATTAAAACTATTGTCTACGGGATTAAATCTAAAAACCTATGAATGGCATATAGGACTGTTGGTGATCTGGCTCTTGCCTTGGATGATATCATAGATCTAAGCAGAACAAATGCCTTGGAATTCTGAGAATCTAACATATACTTTTCTTGAACAACATTAAAAAAGAAAAAAAAAACCTCTGGGTCTTACTGTACGTTGTTCCTCCTGCCTGGAAGGCACTTAGCACCAATTCCCTCATAACCCTATTTACCTGGCTAACTTTTCTTTTAATACTTGAGTGAGAGACACAGTCCCTTCTCCTCCCTCCTCACCTCCCATGAAATCTGAGTTTGGAGGATCATCCTCTCTATCTTCCCCTGCTGAACTACTCCAATCATACTTTTTTTTTTTTTTACTCTGTGTTGCCATTATTTGTTTACTTCTGTGTCTCTCTCCAAGAGGCAGTATGATGGAGAAAAATGGGCATATTTAAACCTATAATAATCGTAATAATATCACTAATATAATGCTAACCACATGCCAGACCCTGTTATAGGCACTTGCTGGATGTTAATCCATGTAATCAATCCTTGCAACACTGTGAGGTGGGCAGCTATTGCTGAAGTTCAATCAACGGGACTCGGTGATAGATTGAATGTGAGGACAGAGAAGAAGGAAGAATAACAGCTGATTACCAGGTTTCTGATTGGAGCAAGTGGGCAAACAATGGATGGAGGTGCCATCTACTGAGATAAGGAATATAGGATGTATTGGAAGAAGAGTTTGGGTCAGGGTAGGGGAAAGAAGCTTTCAGTTTGGGGACTGCCATTCCTTTGCCATTCTTTTATAACAAATATTTCCAGAAGCTTTAGGAATAATGCAATGATTTTTTTTCTGATTGACAGGCATTTGGGAACACCACTGTCCATCTCAGGAAAGCAGACTAACCTCCCAACATCTCTTCACTAGCTTGCTAGAAGCGGGACGGCTATGTTCTTGGGACCTTGGCCTTTCTTTCACCTTATGCTCTGGTTTGCAGCTCCCAGAAGACAGCAAAGACACCATGGCCTTGTAACTTTCAAGCTCCTGCGGTGTGTGTGCCTCCTGGCCCTCACGTCCATCCCGCAACAGGTGTGCGGACCCCCTTACAAGATAGGGGTGGTGGGCCCTTGGGCTTGTGATCCGTTGTTCTCAAAAGCTCTGCCTGAGGTTGCTGCTCGATTAGCCACTGAGCGGATCAACAGGGACCCATCATTTGACCTGGGTTACTCTTTTGAATACGTGATTCTCAATGAAGACTGCCAGACTTCCGGAGCCCTTGCCAGTTTCATTTCTCACCACCAGATGGCCTCAGGATTTATTGGACCTGCCAATCCCGGCTACTGCGAGGCAGCCTCGCTCTTGGCAAACAGCTGGGACAAAGGGATTTTCTCTTGGGCCTGTGTGAATTACGAATTAGACAATAAAAATAGCTATCCGACCTTTTCTCGGACACTCCCTTCTCCCATCCGTGTGCTGGTAACCGTCATGAAATATTTCCAGTTGGCTCACGCTGGAGTCATTTCCTCAGATGAAGACATTTGGGTGCACACAGCCAATCGAGTCGCAAGTGCTCTTCAGAGCCGGGGCCTACCTGTAGGGGTCGTCCTGAGCACAGGACGAAACAGCCAAAGCATTCGGGAAGCTCTCCAGCAGATTCGCCAGGCTGACAGAATTCGCAGTGAGTGCTTTCTCCTGGCTGACGTTTAAACGTGGCTCCAGGAAAAAAAATACGACCATCTCCAAAAGGTTTTCTACCCTCGCACCCCGGGATAGCACATCACTCCCCAGTTTTTCAGGCATTTGCCCTCTTTTACTCACATTCAGGCTCAAAGACCGTCCCGTTTCAACAGAGTCCATCTTATGAACTAAATAAAGGTGCAGAGAACTTGGTGGTTAAGATACCCTTGGGTTCCAGTGCCTACTCTCAGCACCTGGGTAGGGGGAAGACTGTAAGAGTGACTGTAGCTGCACACCCTCTTGTCTGATCTTGTTACCTATTTCATCACATTTCACATATGCATCTTCCTTCTATCCTCTGCTTCCCCCCGCCCCCCCCCCCAAAAAAAACCAGGGCTTATCTCTTTGCAGCACCCAACTAGCTGATTTGGAGGGACCTAGCTGATAAATAGGAACATATTAAAATCAGGAGACTGCCTACATTTTCACCTTTCCTCTTCCAAGAGAAGGTTTATGTTCAAAGGTGATTCTTGCAGAGGTAATGGACAAAGTGTCAAGCAAAGGAATGACCCAGTGAAGCTGCCATCAGCAGAGCGAGTTGGGTAGATTTGGGGGAAGAGGAGTCCTTCCTAGTCCTCTTGAATCAGATGTCTCTTACTGATACTGATGGCAAGCCCTTGTGACACTTGGTTTTGATATTTTCTATTCCAACTTTTTTTGCAGATTATTTTATTTTTTTTAATGCTTATTTATATTTGAGAGACAGAGAGCACTGGAGGGGCAGAGAGACAGAGACAGAATCTGAAACAGGCTCCAGGTTCCCAGCTGTGAGCTGTCAGCACGGAGCCCCGATGCAGGGCTTGAACTAGCGAGCCCTGAGATCATGACCTGAGCCAAAGTCGGACGCTTAACCGACTGAGCCACCCAAGCGCCCCTTGAAGATTTTGTTTTTAAGTAATCTCTACACCCGACCTGTGTGTGGCTCAAACACACAACCCCCAGATCAAGAGTCGCATGCTCCACTGACAGAGCCAGCCAGGCGCTCTTCTATTCCAACTTGCCAATCTCCACTTTACCTTTCTCTGGAAAGTGGCAGCGATTTGTGGGAATACTGCTCATCTCTCTATTGCGGCCACTCCGCCACTTTAAATTGGACAGTTCAGCAACTACTTGTTAAATTGATTACTGCTAGGATTAGTCCTAGTCCCAGGCATTTCCTTACCATAACAATGGGTTTGTTAGAGAATGGTCCAGATTAGCCCGGCCTGTAAACAGAAGCCCATTTTAAGTTCCAAGTGTCCCCCCGGATTGGACCGTAATTATGATCATTATGGGAAGATAGGGGCAAGAAGTTTTCATTCCAGGAACTACAGTAGTCTGTCTCCAGCTCCCTTCTACAAGATCCTATAATGTTAAGCAATCAGCGTGGCTCCGATTACTTCATAAAAGAGCTTGATACTTTCAAAGCAGAGCACAGAGTTATTTTTTAAAGATCTAAAACCATTTCCAGGGAGGAGTCATGCCAGTAACAGGCTGACATATTTAGTATCATAACTTTATAATATGTTACAAATCTTCACGGAAGCCCAGTGTCTCCTGCAAGTTTACATTCCATGAGTGTTTCACATCCCACCCATTTCTAAATAGTATGCTCTTTGAAATGACATTTTGGCCTCTACCATGAAATGTTAAATAAATCCAGGCGCTGAAGCTCTTCAGGCTGTCAGACTGAGAGAAGTTAGGACTGAGTGCTCACCACCCACAAGTCCTTTGAGGTGGAGAGGTAGCAAATGTACATCGTCTTGCCCTGCTATTTGAGATGTGTTCCTTTAGGTCGATGGTTCTTACTCTGACTGCACACCAGAATTACCTGGATGTGTTTTCAAAATGACTGGTGCCAGAAAGCCACTTCCAGAGGTTCTGGAGGTCTGCAGTGGGGCACCAGTAAAGGCATTTTCAGTAGCTTCCCAGATGCATGGAAAATGCAGCCAGGGTTAAGAACCACCTGCTTTAAGTTAATGAAACTGCAAATAAATGTTCCTTACTTTAGATTGCCATTTTTGTCTTAATATAGCTATGTTTAATCAGATTGTTTTCTTTGTAACAGTATGGATCAGCCTACTGAAGGAATGGAAATTTTAAGATTGCTGGGTTGGGGGGGGGGGGGGAATGGGCAGGGAAGCCTAGAGAGGAAGGTTTGTGGTTGTGGAGCAGAGGCCCACCCTGGGCTGACAGGACAGCAACAGGAAGTGAAGTAGGGACTCAGAAAGGGAGATAAAAGGGAGCAAAGACAAAGCTCTGCACAGCAGGATTTTGCTTCTGGTTTCTGGCAAAGCAGGGGCAGACTCAGAGGGGGCATGCTGGGACCTCAGTGACAAGAGACCGAATGCGAGTGGGGGAGGAGGGCACGGCAACTGAGCCTGCTGCATATGACCTCTGACAGTGTGGAGTATTCAAAGATGTGTGTGGCACTCACGTTTGGTATAGCCAGCTGTTGGTATCTGAGGCATGCCACAGCAGCGGGTGGGGTATGACAGCAGGAGTTGCAGAAGGGCAGTGACTCAAAGTAAGGTAGTCTTGTTGCCTGGTGAGAGAAGTGTCTCAGCCAGCAGAAACATGAGAAGCAGGATCCAGGGTATGAACATAAATGGACTATCAGGACTTGAAGCAAGCTGCCTGGGGTACAGGGCACCTCTCCTGTCCCATCAGAAAGTGGGAGAGCTGGGGCACCTGGGTGGCTCAGTCGTTAAGCATCTGACTTCGGCTCAGGTCGTGATCTCACAATTTGTGAGTTTGAGTCCCACATTGGGTGAGCACGGGGTCCGGGCGAGCCCCACTTCTCTCTCTCTCTCTGCCCCTTGTGGGATTGTCTCTCTCTCTCTGCCCTCTGTCACTTGTGCCCCCTCTCTTTCTCTCTCTCTCTCAAAAAAAGTGGGAGATCTGGTGAGAAACCAAGCCAGAGGCCAGTGAGTATGGACTGGGACAGCAGGGCAGTGAGGAAGTTTACAGCACACCAAGCACAGAATACACCAGATCAAATCTCTGGCTGATTCTCTAGCCCCTCTCATCTGGTCGGACTGAGACTGCTAAAGTATTCGTAGCTGTGATCCGTCTTGATTGGAAAGGCACTGAGCTTTCTTGTGTGACCTCAGCTGAACCTCTTCCCTATTCTGCTGGACACGAGGCTACTTCTTACACTGTGGACCCCTGGTGAACCTTCAGAAGAGGACCTTTTGTGATGTACAAAATACGGTGGCAGGGATAAAAAAAATAGTTGAGAGGTGGGTTTTGTCTGATCTGCTCACAGTAACAGTGACCACAACCCCATGTGGGGGTGGTAGTGAGGAATTGTGCTGGGGGGGTGGTGTGTGGAAGGGGAGAGAAAGCTAGTCTACTACTGGCTGGCGTGTCACTTCTCGTTTTTTGTAAATTTATGTTTCCAATTAAGAAGTATTGCTGGCACCTTACTGGAGTCAGAAGAAATGTCTTTCTCAGAAACAGGTCTAAATTGTGCTTACACAAGACTGAGACAATGATAAAATTTACTAGTAAAGATGATAATAACAATAATGAAAGTTGCGGGGCCCTTTGGAGGAGAAACAGCAGGGGTGTTATTAGATGCTGCCATAGAGACAATGAAAGCAATCATAATACCACTTTACATGTGAACAGCTCTCTACAGTTTACAAGGTATTTGCATATAGATAATCTCATTCCATCCTCAGGATTACCCAGAAGATAGGTATTTCCTTTCAAGTTTTACAACACCTGTGGGTCTCACATAACAAGTAGGTAGGTGTAGGCATTATTAACAACAAAGAATGGGGTAAATGAAGGCCCAGGGAAGGGGGGATTCAGCCTCTCCCAGATTCTCAGCTCATTTCCTTTAAGCTTCAAAAGCAATTACCAATAACCTTTGTTTCTGACGAAGTCAAATAGGAGAGATCGATCGTAATCAAAGACTAAGTCCTCGATTTACAGTCAGGGCTCTGTACGCGGTTAGGTAGGTTGTGCCCTGCACAAGAAGATCTAGCTGAGTGGGCATGAGGGCCCAAATCCAGTTCCTTCTCTACTGAAACCACGAGCCCTGGTGGAAGTTTTGATCCAATGGCATAAAAGAGCGTCCACTCACTCAACAGGACACAGCACCTGTTGGATGGCAATTTCCCAGAAGAGGTGCTTTTGCTAATTCTCACAAAGGCTAGCAGGAGGCCTCGCTAAAAAGCTCTTTAGAGAACTTTTCAAATGGCTATTTCAAGCCCTCCTCTTCTCTCCTCACCTTTTTGCCTATCAATGCCTGGCTGATTGTGAAATCCTTTCAATTTGGGCTTACCAGGTTGTGGAGCCCTTGGGGATTCATTTAAATCCTTTCAAATTGGGAATGCTTCATTACAATATGATATTTAGTAAATAGGACACCGAGTGGTCTTCCCTTTTTTGTCCAAAATGAAATACCTTGTTACTATGTTACTGCCAGGGATCTGGCTAGCCTCTTCCCATCTATTGAAGATTATTGTACATAAAAAAGACAAAAAAAGAATAGCAACTTTGGTAATAGTTAATATTTACTGAGAGTTTCTTGTGTGCTAGTCATTTTGCAAGAGCTTTGTATAGACCATCTCGTTCAATTCTTGCAACATCCCTATATAGTAAGGCTAACTATTATTGAACACACTTTATGGATGACTCTTCGGAAGGCAAAAGAGGTTAAGTAACTTGCCTAATGGTCACACAGCTAGTGAATGGGAAAGCCAGGCCACATACAAGCAGGTTGGTCTAAAGCAGACCTCTCAAACCTTGGTGTTTACCAGAATCCCCTGGAGGGCTTGTTAAAACATGGATTGCAGGATTCCTTCTCCAGAGCTGCTGATTCAGGAAGGAGAGCTCGGGAAGGGCCCCAGAATTTGCGTTTTTAGCCAGTTCACAGTGGTGCTGGTGCTGTTGGTCCAGGGACCATTCTTTGAGAAACACTGGTCTCATGAAAGACTTACACTCTTATTG